TTTAAGATTGCAGAAACTTCTTGAGTCCATTGGCCTCGTCTTACTCTCTTGTGTTTTCCAAGGGAACTTACTCACATGGTTGGGCTTTGAAGTGGTATTCAGACCATAACAATTGTCATTATCATTGACATTCCAACTCTGAATTTCTCCCAGAATTTGAGGCTCACAGCCATTTTTATTTACATGATCAAATTGGAAGGATGGCTTGTGAATCAAAACTTTTGCCTGACAAAATAGTAATGTTAGAACTAAGTTCTCATTCATGCAAATGATAAGCCTGTGGGCTGTAGCTGAGGATCAGTTAATTTACATGTACAATTTTATTTTTAGGGCATGACAAGCAAAGGAGCTATTTGTGATTGAAACTGCCTTTTTGGCCTTTAACTTGAATCAGCAGGACTCTTGCCTTTAACTTCTGTGCAGACCAGTGAGGAATAGGGTTCCTTGAATTTGAGTCTCAGCTTTCAGGAGTGTTACTCTAAGGAATCCATTTCCTCCTAAATTGCTTTTTGACACTTGAAAATTTTACCCTGATGTGCCTTTTGGCAACAGTTCAGACGCTCATCTTTTCAGCTCAACTGTATATTATAGTTTCCCTAGCCTACATCCCAGCCTTCTCTCTTGAAGAAACTAATATCACCGTTTGAAAAAAAAATTGATTTCGGTAAAATTTGAAGCATAACATTACTATGTATAGCTTTTTTATCCAGATTTCTTCTTGTGTGACGTAACTATTTTTTAATGAATTTTTTTCTATCGTCAGTTTTATCAGAGTCAGCAAAAACATCGTGAATATGATGACAACCAATATTCTTCAATATTTAAAATGACATTCTCAGCCATACAAAAAAGTAGAAGAAATGTTACTAGAAACCCACAATTCTAGATTCTACAATTAACCATTTACTTTATCAATATGCATGCCAATCCTCTCTCTATCCGTCAATCCACCTTTATTATTATTATTTTTTTTTGATGCATAAAAGAACTCTCTGATGTTTCTGCCTAACATCATTAACTGGAATTCAGTATTTTGAAGGGAAAAATGAATGATCCATAAATTTAGAAAAAAGATCAGTAATACTGGTTATTTCTAGGTGATGAAATGATATGTAACTTATTTTTCCTCATATCTTTATTATCTGAAGTTTTAATCTGAGGATATATTTCTCTTATAATCGGGAAAATCAATAAATCCATTTGTATTTAGGAAAAAGTAAAACTTGTTTATTGCAGAAGTCTTAGCAAAAAGTGATGAGGCCTGGACTAACAGATATGAAAAGGAGAGGATGAGTTAATGGATTTTTGAGAAACTAACGTCCCTGGGACTTACTGACTGACTGTGAGGGCTAAGGAATTGGCCCAGGCTGGCGCTGGGGTTTCTTCTCTTGGTGACCAGGGGATGTGAAGATACATAACATTCTTAGAGATGTTTGGGACTTAGAAAAAACAGACCTCAAAGATATATGCAATTGAAAGAAAGGTCAACTTGACTTAGTATGAATTTTGAATTATAATTTAAAAGAAGATGTTATAACTGCTTGATACAGTGTATGCTTCCTTTATTAAGTAGTTGGTAAGCTCCTTAAGTGCAGAAACTCATCTTTATATTGTAATTCGTCAATACTCATCACATAACCTGCTTTGTAGAAATTCTCCAAAATGTTTGTCATTGAGCGAATTATTCAAACTAAGCTAATAGTATTTCTTAAAAGTAGTCATCATCATACCCTGCTCAAGGAACACATCAAGCTGATTTGTAATCATTTGTAAATAGGTGCTTCCAAAGGGCTTAAAGTAGTGTTTCTCTTAATAAGAAGAGAGATTTTTTTCTAAATTATCTTAAAATCATTTACCAAACTGCAAATCTCCTGCAGTTTGTAGGAAGTAAAAAGATGTGTGTGGTTCCACATACATATGGCACAAGATACTCAAGAAACTGAGGTGATACTGCATATGTATTCCAGATCCCTCTTGTGTATTTTGCTCTACCTTACAAAGATCCTCTGACGCATGGTTTACCACTGTAGTTCACAGGGTTCAGAAATTATATGGACCAGGAGGCAGTATATTAGAGTGACTTAAGGAGCTGGTGCCCTGAAAGTAGCTAAGCTGGCTCTGAATTCCAGTGTTGCCATTTCCTAGCATGTAGACTTGGATAGTTAAACCAAATCTGTTACACGGTTATGAGGATAAAATGGAAGAGTCACTATAATACGCTTAGCACAGAACTTGGCATGTACTCAGAACTCAAAATATCAGCCATCTTTTTAAAAGATCACATTTGTTTATCCCCTGGGATGGAGGGATTACTCAGAGTACAGGATTTCCTGCATCCTGTTTATGAGAAGATTTATTTGATGTACCTTAAAATGTAAATACCTTCTCTTTGAAACCCTCCCAACACAATGAAAGTCTCAATTCCCTTCCTAAGACAGAGCAAAAAAGTAAGATTGGTGTGAAATTTGAACTCAATGAAATGGACATTTCAGATAGCATCCTGCTGGATTTGTGGCTTTTGATTTATTGTAACCACCATTAGGAACACTTGTGATAAGACCAGGGCACTCTCTGCAGATGTTACCAGACAGGCTCCAGCTGGTGGTCAGCTCCTTGGAAACAAGCCACAATGAGCCCATAGTTACTTCAGAATCACCTGCTAGGGCAAGTCATAAGCTGAGCAAACCCTTACGTTGCCAAGATTTAGTGTCCTGTGGCAAGTTTCGAGTCACCTGGGAGCAGGAGGCATGTAGAGATCAGACCAGTGCTCAGGCCTTGGCTCATTAAATGTGGTGATACTGTTTGTAAATCTTAAGTCTCACTTGAGGTCATTTAAACACACTTGCAGGTTGTTGATCCCCAAGTTAACATTGCACAAGGCGAGACAGGAGCTAAGTTAAAGTGTTTGGATGAAACGTAGAAGAGAACTTAGATGTGAAATTCATAGTGTCAGAGTTAATAAGTACCAAATTATAGTAATAGTGCAGCAAAAGCCCACCATTCCTCACAAGTTTTTCTTGTATTTACTTCTCCCTCTCACCAGTCAAGCTAGAAGCTAGGAGAATCTTTCACACAAACATATGTTACATATATGTATTTTTTCACTTGGGGACTTAACGATCATGTTATTTTTTACTATACTTTAGTATATTATAGCATGAAATAAAACCCATTGTTTTACTTGCTGGATTATTTTTTAAGTGCCCACCTAGGGACTAAATAACTACATTTCAGAAACAAGTATCTCATGCATCGTGCTTTAATCACCATGTAAATTTTCTGAAAATAAACAAACCTGATCCTGAAGTACAGTGTCAGGTTTGAGTTCAAAAATTTTAGAATGAACAAAAAATTTTACAAAGAAATATTTTAAGCTGCTTAGTAATACTGAGAATGCACATAGGCTGTGTTCCTCTCCGTGCTAATACTTCAAAATTCCCTCTGCCCTCAGCTCCTCAAAAGTGGGGAGAAAAGCAACCATTGCCTTTGGTTGGCAGTAGAATTTATTCAGTAATTTACTTTCCAGCCAACTGCAGCCATTGCCATTGCCTCTGGGCACTTGATCAAAAATGCAGAGATGAAATAACAGATTGGCCAGACTCAGCACAACTCCCCAGTCACAACCCTATTATCTCCCCCTTCTGTCACCCCCATTAGGCAGAAGCCTGGGAAACGGAGGGTGACAACACAGTTTACATGGCTTGTGCATCTCCACAGCTCAGGGCTTCCTGCCAGTGTCCCTTCTTCATCGTGTTCCCCTGCGTGCGTGGTGGGTGACATTGGAGTCTTGGCATCAGAGTCCTAGGCCTGAGCTGCAGGATCACCTCTCCCCGTCTGTCTGTCAAAAAGGATTTCTGTGCCACCACAAGCATGGCAAAGGGCCCCTCAGTCCTAGGACAACCAGAACAAGATGAAGGGACCACCTACCTTTGAATGGATGTGGTTGAGGCTGCTGTGTATGGACTTTTCAGAATCTTGTGTGTATCTCAGTTACCAGGAGGAAGTTGATTTCCCGTTATTTATAGCTGTTCTATTCAGGTCAGAGCCAAGCAGAGCAGTTGCTTCATTTAATATCACCCACACGTGGCCTCTGAAGGCTCATCTCCTGAAAAACTGAGATTTCTCTTGACAGAAAGAAAGTAGAGGAGGGTAGGGTCTCTTTAATTTAGAGGGAATTATTTCCCGATTGTCACTTGCTGATGAAATGCCTTTTAAAACTGTAGGCACAAGATGCAGAGAGCATCTTGTTTGGAGAGCGTGTAGAGTTGCTGTCCCCCTTGGTCAAGTGTTAGAGAAACTACAGAACTCAAATGAGAGAAATCCAAATTTTCTCTTCCAGAATAGCCTACTCTGTAGACAATATTCTTCTGCAATGCTTGTGTTTTTGGAGTGGTTTGTCCCCAGCGAGCTTTTACCTTTTATTCTGTCTTCATTCCATGCACCTGCTCAATGTAGCCCCATAATTACATCTTTTATGAGTGAGTAATTCTTAGAGGAGATGAAAGGTTCAGGGGATTATTCATCCCTTTGTCCCTAAACCCCTTGTTATGTATCTGGGTGAAAAACGCAGCTGGATTCAGATTCAGTTACTCAGGGGCCCTGCCCCTATTCAGAATTCCCAATTCAACCCTGCGCTCTACAGGTTTCTGGCCAGTAGGTAATGAAAATTGGGTGAGAGCATTTCTGCTTGGAAATGGACAGTAACCTTATTCTAAGGCAACAGAAGAGAGTATGCATCTTACTGATTTTTAGACAGATGTATTTCCCCTAAAAAGAGCAGGTTTTAGTTCAGGTTAATCCATCCTAGAGAGAAGTATTCTCATGACAGTTTTACTGGGAACGTGTGGGAGAGAGCAATCGCTCACCTTCCTCAGGTAAGAGAGAACAGGGTAAGATGAAAACCTTCTGTTACAGGTAAGATGGCCTGTGTTAAATATGCAATTGTTGTTTCTTCTTTCTGATTGGACACTAACTGTCCTCTCCATTTCTTTGCACACCAGCTCATACCCCAGACAACAGCTTTCTGGGGTTTGTGGTTGAGCAGCACCTGAACTCCAGTGACATCCACCACATTAATGAAATCAAAAGGCAGAACCAGTCCCTTGTGTATGGCAAAGTGGATAGCTTCTGGAAGGTGAGTCAGTCTGTGCATGTTTCCCTCTCTGAAAAGAAGCTTGTTGGGTGATTTAATTTAACTTTGATCCAGGGAGTAATCAAGCCAAGTGCCCAGGGCTTAATGGGATCTACTTACACATAAAGAAGAATGTGCAAGGATTCAATTGCCCAGCATTTGGGTTTCTAACCAAGGCTGTACCTGCTCTTCCTGTAGTGGCTGTACAGCAGCCCCCTTCACTCTCTGCATATCAGAAGGGACATATTGTAGCTGCTTTCAGATCTTGTACTTGCCTCTGACAGCTAAGGCCCTTAAGGGGTTGAATATCTTTCTGGAGCAAGGCACTGCACAGGGAGAAACTTTACCAAGTGAGTCTTTCCCTCTGCTTCTTGGGAGATAGTCTGTGAAGGTAGGCAGCTCCCTTTCCTGGGAAATGCGGTGGCCTTCACATCCTCTTGGCTATAGTCGCTACTCAGCTGATCTGGAAAGTAAATTCCTGCTGGGGCTGACTGTAGGCAGTCTGCTCAGGGAGGTCTTGGCTGAAACAGCACTCTTGGCCACAGACCAAACCAAGTTTTCCAAAAGCATTGGCCCCCTTGGCCCTCCTGAGTTGATTTCCAGAGTACATCTAGGAAAAGTGTAACAGGAGAGAAACCAAATCGGATGTGACCTATTGACAGGTAATGCTAATCTTTTTATGTGGGAAGTCTGCCTCAATAGGCAAATATCATAAATTTTTTTTGAGGAAATGTTTTTAGAAGACAGAAGTCATCAGGAGCATGCCTCTTCCTAAATATAAGAATTGCTTTCTTGAATGATCACAGACTGTGGTCTCATCTTACTGTAAGGTAGGTGTACCAAGGAAGTTAGGAATCCTGCAACTGAGGGAGTACAGTTGAAATACAGGATAAAGAATTCCTTGGTACTGCATTTCTGACCCTGTGTTCAGAAAAGGAAAAGCAGTGCCCTACCCCCCAGCTTTAAGGTGCTAACTATACCAAACGGATGATGAGATCAGCCCATCTCCAGGGAGGCAGATTTAATTCCATACCACTCTTTGTCTTAAACAGCTAGACTTTTGTCTTTGTTTAGTGCAGTAGTTCTCAATTGCAGACAATTTTATTTACCTATTCTCCTATGCCCAGGGAACATTTGACAGTGTCTGGAGACAATTTTGGTTGTGATGTCTGGTTAGTGGTACTAGGAGCATGTAGTGGGTAGCGGCCAGGGATGCTGTACACATCCTACAATGAATGGGATGGCCCCTGCCACAAAATATCTGTAATACCAAGGGTGAAAAACCCTCGGCTGGTAAGTAAGAATGTTTCCTATGTATGTTATGCCATACTTTGTTCTGTCAAGTAAAATGAAAATCAGTCTGGATTGTAAATGGCTATTTAAGATGGTCCCATAAATTTGTGTAGCTTTCCTTGTGTAAAAATATGTCCTGTGTTGATAATGCATTTTCCAGCTGACTTTCAGCCAAACTTGGGTTAAAACAGGCATATTGGGTGTTCCCGTGCTCAGCTTGGTTGTGAAATTAATGGTTTGTGGCATTGGTTTTAGGAGGACTGTGGCTTTTAAAGAAAAGCCTCTGCAGCTACTTGAAGAAGATAGCTTGTATGTCTGTGTAGGCTTGACATTGAAATTACATCACTTTGTTTTGGAGCCAAGTGCAACAACCTCCTAGGGCCCCTGGCAACTTTTTTCCCTTTCCCTAGAAAAACAAAACAATAAATTGGTTCTGAAAGCTTTTTGGTCACCTGTTTTGGATAAGTTAACATTGCCACTAAAAGGATTACTTTTCTGTGCCAGTAAGAATCCTGAGGCTGGGTGTGGTGGTGCATGCCTGTAATCCCAGCACTTTGGGAGGCTGAGGTAGGTGGATCACCTGAGGTCAAGTGTTTGCAACCAGCCAGACTAACATGGTGAAACCCCGTCTCTACCAAACACAAAAAAATTAGCTGGGCATGGTGGCGCATGCCTGTAATCTGAGCTACTTGGAAGGCTGAGACAGGAGAATCGCTTATACCTGGGAGGTGGAGGTTGCAGGGAGCTGAGATCTCACACCAGCCTGGGCAACAAGCGTGAAACTCTGTCTTAAAAAAAAAAAAAAAAAAAAAAGAATCCCTAAAGCATTAATCATGTTGCTCAAGTGATTTGGAGTGTGATTTCGCAATCCTTTCATGTTTTGAGTTAAAACTCCATGAGTGCCCAAGCTTCTGTGTACCTGTGCCATGCATCACCTAAAGATTACAAAAGGTTGGGTTGCAGTGAGTCCACGTTCATCTTTGCCTCAATAATAACACCCAAAACTCCTGGGTGTTATTTCAGTTTTATTACATACAGCATTCTGTGCTGGAAAAAGCCCAAGAAGATGAAAAATCCTGTAAGGTTTTCACATGAATTTGGGACATCTTCTCCAACTCTAGATCACAGCACAGTATGTGAGAATTTAGTTTCTTTTTCTAAAGCATCTGCATCCGAGAGTATTTAGTGAATGCATACAGAAAACCAATGTGCCTTTTAAGTGAGATGCTATTCCAACCATACTTCTAAAGTTACGTTCAACATAGGCTTTAGCTAGCAGGATGTTTTATAAATGGTTTTCCCCATCTTGTATCCCATTCCCTTCTCCCCTTCCCGATCCCAATTTGCCTCAGATCTTCAGGAAAGGAAATGGCACCTTCGTGTCCTGGGAGGTTTAAGATTGCAACTGGGGGATGTGGGAGGGCACAGTTTGGACCAGATGACTTTGGAAGGCCTTCCTTCACCTCAGATTCTAGGACTTGATATTCTGAAGATTCCTGCTGTGCCGTAAATCCTGCTCTACTCTTCCCACCACCCTCTTTCTTGAGAGAATCTCCCTACCTACCTCGGCACTTAAGTGGGAAATGCAACCACGTAACTCCCTCCAATGTTGGCTGATTGGACCCTGGGGTTGTCTTCTGACCCAATGCAGTCCAGCTTCTTGGTGGCTGGAACTATAATTCTAGCTCAGAAAGCTGAGCTGCATCAATGAGATTCTTCACTTGGTGTTGGAAAGCAGAGTCACTGAGAGTGAGCCATGTAAACAGAAATCAAAAAATGTGTCCATAGCAGGAGGGAGAGGAAGAAGTTTTCCAGGAGTCCACATGATGAAGAAGCAGGACCAATGTTGACAGGGAGAGGGCGCTGTTGAGAGGATAATGCATTCCTCCACAAGGAGGAGAGGCACCACCCTGATAGAATTAGGGTGCAGCAAAGGGCCTGATAGAGTGGAAGACACAGATACAACTCCTGCAGCCTGGAGAGAAAGAGAGAGCTGCTGGAGTTCCTGGCAGCTTTCTTGTCCCAGATCATATATCCTTTCTCATACTCCGGTCTTGCAGTATCTTAGTATTCTGTTCCTATAGTCCTATCAATATACTTATTAAAATACTAGATACTAAATGCCTGTCAAGAAAAACAAGTATATTAAATATACAGGCTAAGGAGAAGTGGGCTTGTCCTTTAATCTCCTGTCATCAAATTCATGACCAAGGTACTCAGTGGTCTTGTCCTGATGTTAAAGCACATGGTGGGAGGTTGAGGTGGGGAGGGGAATCTTGCCATCAGACTCCAGAATCCCAAGGGCATCGACTTAGCAACGACCTCTGCCCAAGCCCCTTAATATCAAATGAGACTGCTAACAGCCTAATTCCAGATAGAAGTCTCTTCTTAACTCAGGAACCTACAGTTCTGGGTCCCTGACCTCTACCTCTGACACCATCTAATCATTAGCTCCTGCTAACGCTAGAGATGTGCCCAGAAGAACAGCAATCTGTCCAGTATGGTCAAATTCAAAATCCTTCTACGTTCTTTTAACCGAAGTCAACAGGGAATGGAAAATTAGCCAACTTTGTAAAAAGATTTTTGAAATATAGAAATTGAAGTCTTAACTATATTACTTTAATTTCTATGTTTCTTTAAAAATAGTATCCTGAGCATAACTGAATCTTCAAGTGGTAGTGCTGGGTTCGTATCTTATTTATTCTTGATCCCACCTTAATCTTATTACATGTTAATACATTATCACTGCTAAGGTAAATGTCCTGGAGGCCTTTCTTTGACCATGTCAGGAGAACAAGAGTTGCCTCTGAGTCACACATTGGGGTTCAGACTCATAACTTAACTACGTGTGAGGTGGTTGACTGTCTTGAGCCACAGGTTCCTAGCCTGTAAAGTTGGGGCAGTAATAGCTACTGGCTTCTCGGCCTTACTAATGCACACATCACCTGAGGATCTTGTTAAAATGCAGATTCTGGTTTATACCTGAGATGAGACTGACACTCTTTCTCACAAGCATCCAGGTGATACTGATGGACTGTTGGAGGAGCATGCTTTGAGCATCAAGGTCTTAGGATATTTGGGATTTGTATAGTGTGTGGCACAAAGTAGCTGACCAATCAGCAAGAGGAGGAGAACATCTTTTCTCTTACCTTTGTCTTCCTACTGCTCTTGTCAGACTGCTAGCTGTCACTTTTTGCTACTGTGGGTGCCTAGTTCAGTCACCTTCAGTCCCACTTTTGTATTTGCAGACCTTGCTACTTCTAGTCTCTGCCACCGAGTCCCAAGACCCAGGTAAAGCTGTGGTGAGCTCTGAGAGGAGGTGAGAAGCACACTGTCTTCCTCATGTCCTGCTGTCCTGGTTTGTACATTCAGGTGCCCCTGGGCAATGTGATCAGTAGCATAGACTTGGAGCTGGATAGCTGGGTTCAAATCCTGACTGTGCCACCAGCTGCCTAAGCTTGGGTACGTTACTTAGCTCGTGCACAGTAAGTCTAAATACATGTTTGATGGTCTTATTAATGTCATCACTGGGGCCAGATAGGAAATGCCACAGTGGGAATTGGTGGAGGTATGAGCCAGGGCGTTCTATCCTATGAGGAAATGGAAAACAGAAGCCTGCCCAAAGATATTCTAAGTCTTAATCTATGTAAGTGGTTGGCAATCTCTAGCCTGTGGACCACATCTAGCCCAACATCTGTTTTTGTCAGTTA